TTCCATTCCCTGGAAAATTTTTCAGCACAGCCCAGGGCAACTGATGCCTATGTAGGGGAGGGGGTGCAGGAAGGGCCACCCAGAGGCACAGGAGGGGTGTGGGGGCTCCCCAGTTAGCAATTAAAACTTTGGCAGGAGCATATGGGAGCAGTGCACCTTCCAAGTGCTACCATGAGTCACCTGTGAGCATGGTCATATTAGAACATTTACTAATGGAGAACATGCCTGGATGCATTGCGCTATGCAGAGAGAGGAGCACCCCATGGAAGTCAGTGAAAGCAGAGCAGGATTTCCCTTCAGGATTAAAAACTTACTTAATGCACAAGAGCTCATTGTAAAATTCCTACCTCCAGTCCTCCCCAGCTATGTAGAGTCTTTCTTACAGAAAGTTTTTGAAATGGCTCAGGTCCAGCTATGCCTCTGTGGCCAGGAGAATCTTTCCACAAATCTACTGAACACATAAAGTTACTCAGAAGTCATTTGTAATTTTTAAAAAATAAATAAAGTTTATCGTCAGTGTTTATTTAATGAGAGGAGGCGGCGGCGGCAGTGTGTGTGTGGGGGGGGCAGCGGCAGTGTGTGTGTGTGTGTGTGCGCGCCCATGAGCTCATTTGTTCTAAAAAACAAAACAAAAAGTTAAATCCCACTAGGGCTTCACAGGGAGGGAAAGGATCTCTGTAAGCCATGGAAATGCAAATAATGAGTGTTATTTTAGTAACTGAATAAATAGTAAAGTCCTTTTTAGGCAGGGTGGGTCACAAGCAAATGAATAGTTCTTTCAAGGAAAATAATCCAACAGTGTATATGTAGATATGCTAACCTATTGCAGTCTTGATAAGTTAACATTACTGCAGAAGGTAACCTTCAAGGTAGCTTGATATTTGTACTTTTCGGAAAGAGTTAATAATACAATGGCAAAAGTGATAAAATATGAAGCTCATATATATTTTAAATTAACCAATTCTGAAAAAGATCTTCTATAGCAGGGGTGGGCAATAATTTTTGACAGGGGACACTCCAAGAATTTGGAAAGTGGTCAAGAGCTGCAGTCTTCCATGATATTAATGGAGGAGGTGTGGGGTACAGGATGGAGGTTGGGTGAAGAAGGGAGCTTGGGGTAAGTGGGTGAAGGAGGCAGTTATGATCTGAGGCACTGGACCGGGATGCAGGGCACTGGATTGTGACCTAGGGCAGGGAATTGGGGCACGGGAGCAGATGCAGGGGTTTGGGTTGTGAGCTAGGGCAGGGAACTGGGGTGCTGGACCTGGGAGGGGATATGGGTGCAAGAGGGGAGCAGAGGATTTGGGTATGTGGAGTAGGGGGGCAGGAGTGGGAGGCAGAGGGTTGGGGAAGGGAGGAACTGGGGTGCAAGAGGCAGGCTCTGGCCAGAAGACTTACCAGCCAGTAGCCCATTCCTAATCAGCCGCCCTCCTGCCCTGCCCCCACACAGGCTGTAGTCATGTGCCTTTGAATAACTAGGAGCCCCTTGTGCTTCATGGCTGCCTGTTATTGAAACAGGCAGCTCCCAGAAGCCAGCCAATGGGATTGTGCTGGGGGTGGGAGCAGCTCCAAAAGCTTCCCCTCTCCCCTCCAGGTTCAGTTTTTAAAGTGAAACCACCCTTCAGTCGCATTTCTGAGTGGTGTGCGGGTGTGGTGAGGCAAGCAGGGAGCCTGCCTGGGGCTCCCTGCAGCATCTGCGGGCCGGATCTGGTGGTTTTGCCCAGGTCTATTCTATAGAGAGGAGCAGGACGCTACTGTTCCTTTACCACTACCACAGTGGTGGAAAGGGGCATACAATAAATGAAAATCTTGTCCAAAATCTTTATGGGGACCATCCCAACCATCCCATTATCAGACAGAAAGTAGATAATCCCAGCCTCTTTGAAAAGGAGATCATAGTGCCTATTGTCTCAAAAGGGGAGGGGGAGAGGGCATGGCAAAAATGGCCAGGTCAGGCCTGCCCACTTTCAAATTGGGGAGGGACATGACCCCTTGGCCCTCGCCCCATAGCCCTAGCTCCTGATGGTCAGTCACAGTCTAGTGGGAGGAGTGTGGTAATTCAAGTGTGCAGGGCCATTAATTGCCCTACACTCCGAAACTTTAATGCAGGGTTGGAGGGGGCCCACCCATTGACACCCTAAACTTACCTCTGAGGGTCCTACTCATCCATAAGGAATTCTAATCCTTAACCTTAGGGCAAGACCCTCTGCTCTTAGTAACCTGAAAACTAGCATGGGGAGCCCTTCCTATAGGACCCTAACCCTAACTACCAATGCCCTACTCATAAAAACCCTAACCATGAATACCAGGGCCCTATCTATAGGAAGTCTAATCCTAACCCTGCTCATAGAAACCCGAATCTTAGATCAGGGAGCCCTACACTAAGGATCCATTGGTCTGGGGGCCCCTCCCCATAGGAACCCGAATCCTAAATGGAGTGGCCCTTCCCATAGGATTTCTAAAGCTAATTTGGGGGACCCAATCCATAGGTACCTCAACCCTTGTTACTAGGCCCTACCCATAGGAACCCATAAGTTGGGGGCATCCCCTTAGAATCCCTAGAACTACCACGGCTCTAAGCATAATGACCCTAACACTAGATTGGGGATGTCTATCCACAGGAACTCTGTCCCTAATTCAGACTGCCTTATGTACAGGAACCCAAACCTGAGGACGAGGAGCCCCTCCCTTGGAATCATAACCCTAAATCCCAGGATCCTACTCATGCAGAAGGAATTCTAACCCTCACTCTTGGGGCCCTCCACCCATACAACGCAAACACAGGGTGGGGGGTCCCTACTCATAGGAACTCAAATCCTAACCCCAGGGCCATACCCATAAGAATCCTAACCCTAGGTCAGGGATTCCGATCCATAGGAACCTTTACCCTAGTTCAGGAAGTGCTACCAGCAGGAAGTGCTACCTTAACCCTACATTGCCTAAACTTAGGGTGGAGGCCCTACAAATAGGAACACAAAGTGTAGGTCAGGGGGCCCTTCCCATATAAACACTAAGCTGTAGGTCAAAGGAGCCCTACCCAAAAGAGCTGTAACATTAGTTTGAAGTGCCCTACAAATAGGAACTGTAAGCCTAGGTCAGAGAGCCCTACACATTGCAACCCTAATCCTAACTCCGGGGGCTCTACTCATGCATAAGATACCCTAAATCTCGGGGTCCTACCAATAGGAACCCTAATCCAAGTCAGGGAACCCTAGCCACAAGAACCATAATCGTAACTCCCAGAACTCTTCCCATAGGAACTCTAACCCTAGGTCAGTGTATGTGTACCCCAGAAGGAGGTTGTGTTTGAGTCACACATTGTGACTTGGCCAAAGGGCTGAGTTGCTAAAGAGGCTTTTGGCTGCTGAAGTGAGAGAGTGTAGGCACACACACTCACCCAGGAGAGAGGCTCACAAGAGGCGAGTACTGCCCTGTTACAACATGCTTGAAAATGGACCTCAAACCAATGGTGCAAGATTTCATATCTTTAATTTCTTATCTAGCAGTAGGTGCTGACAAGCTATCATTAATCAGATTAGCAGGACAGTAATATATAATAGCTCCAGTTTCTGATTTGAATTTAATCTCCCATGCACATTTAGCCATCGAGGAAACAGAATCTGTGTTAGTTGTCACCACATTTTTCCAAGTTAGTTGATACATCTCAAACATTTCAGTTACCGCCACACTGACAAAATGGATGTCAGCACAGGGGATGACTGTCACAGCAGTGCAAAAACAATGTGGGTTTATGCACGTTGACATAAAAAAAGAAAACAAAAGGCCAAGAATTGGATGATGCTTCAGGAGACTTGCCACAAAATAAATTAGACACTAGATTTTCATCAATTTGTTCTGTCAGTTTAGATACTAAAGAATCGTTGTTT